TGTCCCATTCCCCAGGGGAGCCCCCCTTGGCCCTAGGCTTCCCCCCGCTGCCCCAGGGTCCCCTCTGCCGACAGTGGCCAGCACCAGGTGTCCCAGAGGGGTGGACCGAAGACAATGATCAAGCGATTTGTCTCCTGCCATCCCTCTCCAACCTCCGACACACAGAGGCCAGGGACACCATTTTATCCCCTGGCTAAAAGTGTCCCATTCCCCAGGGGAGCCCCCCTTGGCCCTAGGCTTCCCCCCGCTGCCCCAGGGTCCCCTCTGCCGACAGTGGCCAGCACCAGGTGTCCCAGAGGGGTGGACCGAAGACAATGATCAAGCGATTTGTCTCCTGCCATCCCTCTCCAACCTCCGACACACAGAGGCCAGGGACACCATTTTATCCCCTGGCTAAAAGCCTTTTATGGACCTCACCTCCATGCTGCTGTTGGGAGGGGCCCCGTGCTGTGGGGCAAGGGAGGGTTTGGGTAATAACAGGCATTTCTTTGTCTCTCCAGGCAAAGAGCTGCTAGTTCCACTCACCAGCTCTGTATCCTTTCCTCACCATTGTGCTCCTGCTCCTGACTCTCCAGTGAGATTCTCTCCCCAATGGGACACTGAACCCTTGTGCCCCAGGACGCAGCCTGCTCTGCCTTGGGTGCAGCCAGCAGCTTAGGGTTGAACGTTTCCAGTCAGTGGGCAGGAGGCTGGGAACAGTCACTGGGACCCTTTTCCTTTGTCACTCATCTAAGCCCTGCTGGACTGAAGCTGCTCCTGTGAAACTGGTCTGTGCTGTTCCATATGGCCGGCCGGCCACCCACGTCCCAGCTGGCTCGTTGCCAGAGGGGAGTAGGCCAGTAGAGGGGAGCTCACCTCTAACTCTGCGGGGGGGCTGCACTGGGGCACTTGTCCAGCTGCTGGTCTTGTGCCTGCTCTAGGAGTGGACGGAGCTGCTAGTGCCCCACTCAGTCCTTGCTGGGCCAGTGGGTTTTCCAGTGCTCTTGGCGTTTCCTGCTGGCCCTGGGTTGGGCTTCTCCTTGGGCCAAGCAGCACGGAAGGGTCTGGGGACTGATTGGATCTTTGGATGCCTATTGAAATTGGTTCCCCTCATCCCCAGGCGGCCTGCCCAGTTCATACTAGCAACGTGGTCCAGTGGGTAGGGCACAGGCCTGTGACTGTCTAGTCCCCGCTGTGTGAGCTCGGGTGAGTCACTTCCCATCCCCCCTTCTCTGCCTCCTTTGGTTAGACTGAGCGCTCTCCAGGACAGAGACTCTCTCTGCATGTTGGTACAACGGAGTCCTGCCGCTGCAGAAGCCTCGTGTAACGGTGCTTTACGCGGAAGCCCTGGACGAACTGTCCTCTGCGCTGAAGGAGCTCGGTTGATTTCTACCCGTTCCGGATCTGGCCCTCTTGCGGGTAGTGTGAGGCTAAGCTGCTATCCCCATAACCTTCTTGCTCTTACGGTTCCCCTGCTGGTCCTGTCTTTTCCTTTGACCTCCCTGGCAGATGTACGTCCCCGGGAAGCTCTCTGATGTTGGCCACGTGCTGGTGGATGTGGGGACGGGCTACTATGTAGAAAAGGTAGGAGGCGCTCTCATAGCGGGTTGACCCATGAGCAGCATTAGACAGGAAGTGGCAGAAAGCGCTTTACCTACTTATAAAGTGGTTGGACTCTTCCCCACTCCAGCCTCTTTGCATAAATCATGCTCACAGCTGGAGCGCAATTCTGCCCTGGGACAGAGGGGAGTGACTGCTAGCAGGTGAGGTTAGTGCGCTGCAGTTCCCTGCTCGGGGCTTGGGTTCATTCCCTTAGCACTTTCCCCTTTGAGACAGTGCCATCAATTTCTATCTTGTGGGGTGCTGAGGGGCTGTTGAACAGCTCTTATGTTACACCCCAGAGGTGGCTGCATTTCAGAAACAGGTGATACCTGGATGCACTGACAGCTGTGATGCTTCATTAGTTAGTGCAGGGGTGGGGGACCTGTGGGCCTGGCTTACCTTGATCCGGCCAGTGGCGAAGCATGGGGCCTTCCCCTGCAGCGGGGCAAGCCAGTGCTCATGCTCCAGCCTTGTGGCAAGTCTCCAAGCCTCGGCGCCCCTCTGCGGGGCTGGCACATGAGTCACCCAGTAGCAGGGCAACCTAAGTCCCGAGCCTCAGCATCCCTCATGGGGCTGGAGCGCAAGGGGAGCTCCAGTGCCCCAAATTGTGTGAGGTTTTTGCTTCATGTGGGGTATTTTGGGGTTTTTTTGCTTCTCTTGTGGGTGGTTCCGGATTTTTCTGTGGGTCGGTGGCCCCCAACTAAAAGATGGTTCCCCACCCCCAGTATAGAGCTCTGAGTTCTCTGATGGAAGGTGCTGCCGAAAGGCCAAACACGCTATTGCCTGAGCAGCCCAGTCTTGGAGCAGTTTGCTTACTCTGTCCTGTGCGTCACTTCCTTGTCCCTGCACTTCAGGCAGGGGGTAAAGCCCCTCCCACGGTGCCTGCCTGTCCTGAGGGTGGGCATGTCATGCTCCCATCCCTCTTGCAGACTGCAGACAATGCCCGCGATTTCTTCAAGAGGAAGATTGATTTTCTGACCAAACAGATGGAGAAGATTCAGCCGGCGCTGCAGGAAAAACACACCATGAAGCAAGGTAGGGACCTTTCTCTGGGGCGGTGCCCACCACTGGCACCACCTGTCCTTAGCTGCGAGAGGCCCTCAGCCATGTGCTGTCACTGGCTGTGTTCTTTCCCTTGCAGCTGTGATGGAAATGATGAGCCAGAAGATCCAGCAGCTAACAGCCACGGGGGCGTCACAGGCTGTGGCAACAAGGGCATAGCCTGTGGCATCCGTCCCCAGCCCCATGGGCCCCACACGCCGCGGTGCTGCACTTGGACTGAGGCATTTTGTTCTGTTACAAGCAGAGTCTTAAAATCACCGAGGAAGCAGCTGGAGCTGAAACTGCCTGGCCCCAGCCGCCAGGAGGCATCTGCTCTCTGTGCTGGTGGCTGTTACACATGCGCAGCCTGGGGGGGCTTTCCCCTTGTGTATGCGGCAGGTGATCTCCCTGGGAGAGAAATTAAACAGTTGCTGACTGGGCTTGGCCACCTCTGGTGAGAAATACGCAGGGTCTGGGCAAAGGAGCTGTCCAGCACGGGGTGCAGCCCCTTCCAATCCAGGGGAGGCTCTTGATGGGGGTGGGGGGCTCTGGGCTGCTGTCTCTACCCTGGCTTCTGTGCCCCTTTCGCAGCACAACTTGGGCCCTGGCAGGACAGGGAGGCAGCAGGCGGGTGGTAAATTCGGGCTGCACCCTTCTTGCATGGGGATCCCCCAAGGCAGTGGGTGAGGCAAAGCTCTGCTACCTACCTGTGTCCCACCTCGTGTGCAGGCCTTGGGCTGAGGGTGGCCAGCCAGGTTCAAGCCCTACTGGAAGCAGGCAGCCCTGGCCAGCTGCTCAGTGCTGGTTCTCACCCCACACCCAGCTGTTCTGAGGAGGGGGAGTCTGTCCTGCATTGCCACCCATGCTGAGGATGGGTCCAGCGCTAGGGCCCCTGCATGCAGCTCATACAGCTAGGATGGGCAGAGTGGCCTGGCACCTGGCTTCCCCCAGGAGGTGCAATTGTCTCCCTTGGTGCACTGCTGTAATTTGGGCACCACTCTTCCTTGCTGCGTTCGCACCTCGGGTAATGCCCCTGCCCAGAGCGCTGGTCAGCCCTCAGCTGGGGTGCTGTGTCCGTTTCAGGAAAGATGGAGCAATTGGAGAAGGGCTGGAGCACGAGCTAGCAGGGAAGACGGAAAGAATTGGGCTGGTTTAGTTTGGAAAGGAGAAGACAGAGGGGCCACGACAGTGGTTTTCAGGGATCTAAAAGGGTGGGTCAAGGAGAAGGGAGAGAGTCGTTCTTGGGCTCTGAGGCCAGGACAAGAGCAATGGGCTTTAGCTGCAGCAAGGGAGGTGGTGGGATCTCCATCACTGGGGCTATTTAAGAGCAGCTTGGACGGACCTGCCAGGGATGGTCTCTGGTGCTTGGTCCAGCCGTGGGGGCAGGGACTGGACTCAGTGGCTGCTCAAGGTCCCTTCCAGTTCTGGGATTCTATGCTGCTCTAGCTTAAAGCCACCTGCTGCTGGGGGCAGGGCAACTGAAGGGCTGGCCCCTGAAAGTCCAGCTGGACTACAGCAGAGACGCACCAGCAGCGGCTTCTTGCCGAGTTTCCTTCCCAGGCAACCAGGCTGAGCTGCAGCATTTACCTGGGTTCTAGTCCCCTCGGCCCCCACAGCTCAAATGCCCGGGGCTGCTGGCCTCCGGGAAGCCAAGCCCTGGGTTTGAGTAAGATGTTGCTCCTGCCACGGCGCAGGCGGGGAGAGCCACTTGCCCCCTCTGCCCATCATGCCCTGGGACTTCCTGAGCGGCCAGAGGCAATTTGCAGTGCAGGGCCTGAGTTGTACCAGGTGCAGAGCGCCAGGGCTTGTGTTGTGAAACCTCAGGCCCCTCGCAGGGGGCAGCCCCCAGCCCTGCCTCCCCCGGGAAATGGAGACCGGTCCGATCACATGTATGTACTGGGGCAGCCCCTGCAAGGCGCTAAGCCACTCGGCATGGTGGACCTGCCCTGGAGCAGGCCCAGGTGGCTCCCTTAGCAAACACGACCTTCCTCCTCCCCAGCCAGGTGCCTTGCACTGGGTCACCAAGTGGCTTTCCCCTGCGGGAGGGAACACAGCACAGTCTGTCTCTGTCACCACCCCCGGAGCACAAGTCCTTTCCCCTGCCAGCATCCCCAAGCAGAAAGCTGGCGGGTGGGGGGAACAAGCAGCTCCAAGGCTCTTTAAGGGGACCAACACCCCTTGAGCGCTTTTAGGCCAGGACTCCCCAAACAGACGCATGGCGCCTTTTCCTGCCCACCAAGCCCCAGCCACACAGGAGCCACACCCCTAACAGCAGAACTTTATTCTATGCAGGAGGCACCTCCTCAGCCACAACAGACAGCCCCTGGCCTCGCCTCGGATGGGTGGTGCCTTGTGGAGTATTATGGCTTCTGCCGTAAACATCTCCCCCCACCCCGTCCCTCCCCTCCGTATGTACAGCTACACACGCCGACCCCCGGGAGTTTTCTGAGGTCTGCGCTCCAAGACTTTGACCACAACGGTGATACCAGGGATGGCCCTGTGCCGTGCGCCACGAGACAGCCACGTGACCTGCATGGTATGCTGGGTGCTTGTCAAGAATGTGGAAGGTCACATGACCGTGGGTGGCCATGTTCAGTGATGCTGCAGATGGTCCCATGATGGGCATGGAGCGGGCGCTGCAGCCAGCCACGTGCCAACCCCCGTTAAGTGCTTCTTGATCACCGTGCTCAACCCCACCCCCGCTGGCCCGGCTCAGTGCCTGCGCTCAGCGCACGAAGAGGGGCTTGTGGACCCTCTTGTGCCGGTTGAGCGTGGCACTCCTGGCGAAGCTTTCCCCGCACTCCACGCAGATGTAGGGCTCGTGCCCGTGGGCATCAGCCCGGTGCCGCTCCAGCTCCGTGCTCTCACGGAAGGCCTGGCCGCACTCGGGGCAGGCCTGGCTCTGGCGGGCGGCGTGCAGCCGCTGGTGCTTGAGGAGGTTGGTGCTCTGGGTGAAGCCACGGCCGCAGTCGGGGCAGCGGTGGGGCCGGGCACCTGAGTGGGTGCGCTGGTGCTTGATGAGGTTCTTGCTCTGGGTGAAGCTCTTGCCGCACTCCCCGCACTGGTAGGGCTTCTCGCCTGTGTGGATGCGCTGGTGCTGGATGAGGTTGGAGCTCCAGCTGAAGCTCTTGCCGCAGTCGCTGCAGCGGTAGGGCTTCTCGCCGGTGTGGGTGCGCCGGTGCTGCACCAGGTGCGAGTTCTGGCTGAAGCTTTTGCCGCACTCGCTGCAGGTGCTGGGCCGCTCGCCGGTGTGAGTCCGCTGGTGCCGCAGCAGCTTGGACCAGTGGCTGAAGCTCTTGCCGCACTCGTTGCAGATGAAGGGCCGCTGCCGGCCGGCAGCACCACGGTGCCGCACCACCATCCCCCCCTCTTCCTCCTGCCCATCAGCCAGCTCCACCAGCTCCCCGCCATAGCCAGGGGGCGGCCCGGCCGGGCTCTCCGGCCCCCGGCCTCTGGGGCTACTCCCATCCGCTCTCTGGGGAGCCTTCTTCTTGGGCTTCTTGGCCAGTGGACTGTGGGGGACCACGGTCTGGATGATCTGGTGCTGCAGCTCCCCCTCGCTGTCGCTCACAATGCCGTCGTCGGCTGGAAGGCAAAGGAGAGCCAGGCACAGCTCGGAGTGGCACAGACACAGCCTAGGGCTGAGCACTGCAGAGCACCCCGTGGGATCCGGGGTCCTGTTGTCATTAAAACTCCAGCAACTGGGTACTTGGACTCCCCAGCAACGTCCCCCCCCCCCCCACCCCCAGCGCAGCTCCACGCGGCACACACCGG